CTGGAGTTTCAAGCATGATCTGACTTTTCACCTTAAAAGGACCATTCTGGCTGCTGTCCTCAGAGAGGACTGTAAGGGGGCAGAGGCAGAAATAAGCAGATCGTGAAAAAGTGGAACAGTTGTAGAGGCTGACTCCGGCTCGGACCAGATTCTGGATGATACTGCTAAAGAGATGCAAAGCAGCCAGATTCTGGAAGTATTCTCAAGATACAGCCAACGGGACTTACTAATGCACTGGTAGATAGTGTGGTATAAAAGGGAGGAGCCCAGTGGGGCTCTGAGGTTTCTAGGCTGGGTAACCAAAGGAGGGTGCTGCCTAGTGCTGAGCAAGACTGGGGAGCAGGAGGCTCCGAGCAGATGAGCAATCAATTTTCTTTTGGACATGTTAAACAAGAGCTGCTCTTCAGAGAGCCAGGAAGAGATGTAAAATAAGCAGTTAGAGTGAGTCTAAAGTTTTGGGGAGAAATCTCACTGAAGACTTAAATTTGGAAGCCATGAATGTAGCAATGCCATTTAAAACCAGGAGATATTTTCTAATTCATATACCTTGAAATGAGCTGGGTGAAAATATTAATTCCCAAATTAATGCTTAGACTTAAACTGAATTGGTAATTTTCCCATTCCATCACCTTACAAATTTACATCAAAATGAGTTGGTATTCAGTGACTAATAGTATTCATCATAGGTTCTCAGACATTTCAGAGCCGGAAAGACCCTCAAAGATAAATTAATACTCATTTCTACAGATGGATAAATAAAGTCCCAAAGAATTTCACTGACCTTCTCAAAGGGATCCAGCTAGGCTGGAGGGATCCTCAGATCCCAGATACTCAGACATGTGGCCTAGTAAACTTCCCTCCAAATGGTTTCTTGTTCTGAATAAGTAACTGTGACTCAACAAAGTATAGAAAAGCTCTGCCTGGTTGTTGACTATACAAATAACCTGATCTCCTTTGAATGTAGCTAAAAATCAGGAGTTAAAATAGGTCTCTGGGTAAAAACAGGCCGTCATTACACCATGCAATTAATTTAGTTATCTTTCTAACAAAGCCTGCAACGTTTGTTCTGACCTAAAACATGGGAATAACAGTGCAGAATTCTGGGCAGAGAAATGGGCAGAAGCTCACAAAGTGCACATTATTAGCACCTTAGAGCATCAGTATACATGAGGGCAAGACAATACTAAGTAGAAGCAAATACATAGTAATACCAATAGAACTCTTTTTTTATTCCTTTGTTCTAGATACTGCCCTGAATATCTTGTAAACTTCATTTCTAATCCTTAAAACAACCCTAACAATAGTACTATTCCTGTTTTTCAGATGAAACAGAGGTCAAAAGGTTAAATATCATGATCACTATCATATCAGAACTGGTATAGACAAGAACCCACATCTGCCTGAATTCAAGGCCAGTATGCTTTAAACTACATCATAATCACAAGTAAAGGTGAAATTATATTCTACATTCTCTTTGTGAGATGCTAGGGGAATTATCTACAACAAATATTATCTAAAATGCTTAAAATCTTAAACTTTGAGTTCTTGGAGAAAACTCACACCTTCATGGTAGATAAACCAAAGAGAATTATAAAAATAATGATATAACATATAGCAGGTGTGGTGGTGTACACTCATAATCCCAGTACTGGAGAGGCTGAGGCAGAAGAATTGCTGCAAATTTGAGGCTAGCCTGGGCTACACAGTGAGTTCAAGGCCAGCCTGAACTACATAGGGAGACCCTATCTCAAAAAACCAAATATTAATAACAATGATAATGATGATAGAGATGAAGACTGGCTGCTATGCAAAAACAGAGAAACAATACTTCCCTACTGAGCGGAGAAGGATGTTTCACTTATAAGCACATTCCTGTAGTCCCGCTACTAGAAAGGCTGGAGGAAAAGAACACTGACACCAGAACTGAGAGCCAGCCTGCCAGCACAGCAAGACCTGACTCAATGTTTAACACAACAGGTTTTTAAAGAACATTATTTTAAATAAAACTGAGTCAAGGAAAAAAAATACTGAGTCAAAAAATAAATAAAAGGCAAAGAAAATGTAAAAGGTGCATGTCAGCTTTGTATCTGAAACCTCTGAAATTATTTCCCATATCTTATTATTCAATTTAAAATATTAAATTTTTAAAAATCAGAATGGTACTTAAGATGACAATGATAGATGGGAAACACAATAGAATTAAAAAATATAAATTACCTTACAATTTAGTCATAAAATTAAACTTTCTCCCTCCATCCTAAACCAGAGTTCACACAAGTAATAGTGGATTAGCTTCAATTTCCTCCCTATTAATTTTGCAGATAAAGTACCACAGCATTTTGCACATGATGAATATCCGAATGTTCCCCACAAGGATGATGGCAGTAAGAACGTTAATTCCAAAAAGCCAAATACAGAGAGAAGCAAATGATAAAATCCATCCCAAACCTACAAAGAATGCTTCCTACCCCACCACATCCACTGTAATTAATAACACAATAGCTTACTACTTTAGGAGGGAAAGTAGAAGACAGATATTCCAAGGCCTCTCTCAAAATCACCAAAACGTATATGAACCTAACACTGAGTACTTGTCTTCCACAAACAGATGCTTTATCTGCCCCTGCTTCCTCTTTGCTAGCAGGAAGATTATTATGCTGTCAGTACCAGCTGAAGACAGACAAAAAAAGCCTTGACAGTTTTACTGTCTTAGAAAAACTTACAGCCCATAGATGCTTCCTAGAGACGTGGCTCTATCCTCTACAGACTTCAAAGCTCATGCTGAAGGACTTTACAGTGAGAAAAAGCAGTAACTCTGTAATCACAAGAATCAGACTCCATCTGCTCATCTGAAAACTTACTGCTGAAGGACTTTACAATAAGAAAATAATTCAGGCAAGCTGAGAATTTCAGAGTTTCTTAATCTAGATGTTATGGTTTGTGTCTAGATTTCCCCCAAAGTCTCATGTGGTCATAGGGCTTTTTCAGAGGTGGCTGAATCTAGAGCATGTGATGCTGGGATTAAAGGTGTGTGATTACTAAATCAGTCCACTGATTGGTCTGACACCGCCCTAATCCCGGTAGTCTTGATAAGATAAAAGGTGAAGAAAGAGCTGTTAAGGTTCTCTGCCACAGACACCCCTCTGCCATGTGCCACTCTGCCTTGGAGCCAGCCGGTTATGGACTGTAATCTCTACAAACTGTGAGCTAAGTAAATCTTTTCCCCTTTAACACTGGGTGTTGGGTATTTTGTCTTGGCAATGAAAGAAAAGTACCTAACACACTAGGAAAGCATACCATCTTTGTGTAACCTCACATAGGGAAATAACAGGCCAATTACTAGAAAGTTTAATTCTGGAATTTAATTTTATGAGTTCAGAGTACTAAGTTTGATCATTTTAGGATACAAATCTATAAATAAATGTGCAATTCTATGGGTAGAAATCTGTGTACATTTTTCAAAGTAATATGACGTACCTCCATGAATGTTCCCCATAAGCCCGAAAGTGATATACCTAACACAATGGTATCGGACCATTATATAAACACGGTATATTCTTAATAAAAATTACTGCTTGATTTACATAATTTAAACTAAAAATAATTCAAGATATTGTTTGGTAAACATACCTTTTTATATCCCTTTGGGTGACCAAACTTGCTTCACACATTCACGCATTTGACAGGAAATAAAGCTACACATCAGAGCTTTTAAAGTAAAAGCAATTATGTATTTCACAAGGTCCATCATGTTGTACATGCTCAGTAAATCAGCATAAGAATGAATGCATTAATATATAGCTGACAGAACTGATTACAGACGTGTGTACATGGATTAGAACACATCTGTCACCTATCTGTCACTGAGACTATTATAGACAGCTAAGTCAGACAAGGCTGGGTCCTCAAGAGAGTCAGTGCAGAAGATGAAAACGCAATACATTACAACTGTAGCTGGAGGCACATATGTTGAAGGCCAGGCCTCAAGACAAAGACAGAATAGGAGCCGGGAATTTAGCTCAGTGGTTTCATTGCCTGCTGCCCAAGCGCAAGGACCTGAGTTCGATCCCCGGTACCAAAAAAAAAGAGATAAAGACAGAATGACCAGGGCTACATGCCTCAACAAAGGATAAGCAATATACCATAACTGGTATCATCTGGTCCAATAGGTCTAGATAGACATCAGTCATCCAGGCAGGTGACCAGGACCTCCTGGCTCATCTCTTCCAAAAAAGGTCCTTGTTCTTTCCAGTAACACTTGCTACATGACCTGCTTCCCCACTGGATCAATATTACCTAAGCAGATATACTCGTAATCTTATTGGTTGATCACATTTTTGTCCTGTGTTGTACCCACCTCATGATTTTGCTCTATAAAATGTCCTCTGTAAAGTAGGGTCTATGGCAACCCACTCAGGTCCCCTCCTGCCTCTCAGGAGCTATATCTCTCAATAAATATCTCCTACTCTTAATCTCTCTTGTTCTTTAGAATTTACTGTTTGATTTTGGGGCACACTAACTTGGCATATTTGACATCTAGCAGGTTCAGAGTTTTATTATTTTCCCTGTATCATTTGGAGGTCCTATATCAAGACAGCCTAGAAGTGGTGACACCTCAGGGGCAATAATCACTGTTCTTTGAAACCTGGTCCTGCCTTCTAAATACCATTCTCCAATGAAAGAAACCAGGACTCCTTAAAGACATGGTTGATTCTAGGAAGAGAGCAGAAAAAAATTACAAGATAAATGAAGAGTACATTATCTTTATATCACCAAATCCAGCAAAAGCTAAATCTGCATTTTAATTCTTAATTGTTCATTAACAGAATTTTTGTTAAGAAAATCTTATTATTACATCTTAGATTTCCATGTCTGAATAATGACCAGTCACTTTTATTCCAAAATACACAACCCTGTATTCCATAACTAAAAAGAACACAGAGAGGGGATACATAAAAAAGCAAAAGAGGTTAGAGGTTAGTCACAAAATTAAACCATACCGTGCAAGTTTCAAGCTTTTTACCAGTTCATCTAATAGGCGGTTATTTTTCAGGTCTGGCTCTGTGACTGGCTAGAAAAGAAAAACAGCAGAGGAAGAAGGTCACAAACAATAATTAACTTGTCATAATCTTGTTTTTGAAAAGTGCCTGGCCCATTCTCTTGAGACTCTCCATACCACTAAGTCTTCCAGGAAAGCCTCAAAATAAAGTTCATTTATCTTATAATAACATGGAATATTAAAAGAGTGAATCAGCACCTGCTAACTGGAAGTCTGATAAGAATGCTCAAAACCATCTGTTAAAATCATATATCTGCACTAAGATAAAACCTAATATGAGCAAGAATTTTTCTTCTAAATCCCAGCACTCAGCTTTCCCAAAAACTTCTCTTGCAGGGATAAGATACTCTTTTAAGTAATAAACTAGAAGAGCCATAAAGTTTTCAAAGAGTTTAAAAATATGATTGGTTTTCAAGAATGCAAGAGTAAAATGCTAAATCCAGCACTTATTTAGCATGAATGCTACACTTCTCTGCGGCGAGGCCATCTTGGCAAAGGCATGTAGCACAGCGGAAAGAGCTCAGAGCTGGGAGCCAAACTGCACAATTTCCTGCACAGCACAACGCTCCAGACCAGTTCAGTGACACCCTGATGTAATGAGCTTACCAGATAGTTAAATCTTTATCTGGTTTTGGTGTTCTTTCTGTTACACTTACTGTCTTCTTTCTTTATTCTCACTTATGTTTGATTTCTCCACCAATCTACCTGTCCACCTGTTCTCACTATAGTACTTGAAAAGTTTTAAAACCCTTAACAAATGCCCTAGTGTTTTCCCTGAATGTCTGGTTTGAGAAAGAAGTACAGGACCAGTTAGGCTGGTTTAAGCCCAATGGCCATGAATCTTTGCCTTCTGCATAAATACTTACACTAGACCTTTGCAAATGAATAACTCAACCAGCAGTTTCCACCAAAAGTGAAAAATTATTTTAAAAAATAGAGCCATAAAAACATAGTTCACATACTAGTTTTTACTTCCTAACATACATTTAGGTTATGCAAAAACATAATGAGAAATTAAAGCCTAATATTCTCCTTACATGTACTTTAGAAGCCCTTTCTGGAAAAGTCTTTTATATAGTTTAGCTCAATAACTACTCATCTTCCCAGGTGCTTTTGAGTGTGCATGAAGCAGACATATTTGCCTAAGTTTAGAAAAAAGGAAATAAAAACTCACCACACAACAAGTTGGACACTGAGTTTTATATGACAGAAATTTTCTTATACAGAGAGAACAATCTGCAAAACACAAAACGCACATAAGTTAAGCTATATTAATAACGTAGGAATCTGACTTTTAACAAAATCTGACTTAAGTCCTAGAAAATTCCCATAATCTAGCTAGATCATTATAATCTTAAATTTCTAGTACCTCTGACCTATACATATTGACACATATAATTAAATGGCATTTTTAGGAAAGAGAAATACATTAAATAAAATGAGTTCTTAGGATACAACTCCATAAGCAATATGCATCACTACCTTTTCTATTTGCAAGCCATAGGAACATACAATAACTAGGCTGGGTTCTGTATAAACATCCCAGATAGCTCTACTGCCTGTGATGGCAAAATACAAATTTTGAAAAAAGATGCATATGTTAAGTAATAAAACATACTAAAGTTATCAAATAAGCAATTTCTACATCATAATTCAGTAGGTGAGGTCCATTATCTCACACTTAACAAGGAAGTGTGTGGTACGCTAAGAACAGAATAAAGGGAAGGACCCTTACCTCAAGGAGCTAAACAACCAGCGAGGTGTAGTACAATTCAGTGCACTAAATTGTGGTGGATTAACTAATAGTCAACTTGGAACTCCCAGCTGAATTGAATCAGCGTGGTTGGGCGTGGAAGACCCACCTGAGGACTGTTGCCAATGGCATAAAAAGAGAACTGAAGGGGAAGATGGTGGCTGTTGATTTTCTAGGAGAGAGCTATTAAAATCACAATCCTTGCTTCCCATTAACTTCAACAACAGGTGCAGCAACACTAAAAGATGTCCCAAGGGATTTCCTGCATGCCAAATACACTCTTTCCTTCTGGTAAAAGACCTCAGGTCATTTTTCCATTGTCCTATTCTTTCTCCAAAACCACGATTTCCTCTTTCATCCTTGCAATCCATACCTCCACTGTAGCCTCTCCTCTGGCCAAATGCTTCCAATCACCCTGCTGGATCTCTGCTTTTAATTTCCAACACAGATCCGGCCAAAAGCCCCCAACAGTAGCCATGCCACCATTGCAATAACATACTGCACTGAAATTTTTCTGCCACCCAGGCAATGTTTCTAAACACAAAATGCAGACCAACTTCCTGCACAGCACAACATACACTCCTTGGGATTCAACAGTCAATGCAGTCTGCAACAGAAGCCTCTTGAGTCTCGTCCTAATGATGAGTGGTGGCAGCACTTCTATCAGTATTCTGATTTTCTGGGCTCTGACCAGAGTCTTCCATATAGTTTAGTGTACTAGGGCTGCCCCTTTGGTAGGTTTCTCAAACTCTTTCCAAATTGATTCCCAAGGCTTTTAAGCTTAAGCCGGTACCAATACTGTTGTACTCAGGGTTTGCAAGGGAATAGTTTTAATACAGGATACACAATTTATAGGATTAGTTTATAATATTCACCCAAAAAGTCAAGGGCCAGGATCGAACAACAATGTCCCTCACAAGTCCAGCTGAGGGCCTAGAGTCTAAGGCAATGTCCTCTATGAGTCCAGCCAGAGGCCTAGAGCCCACAGCAATGTCTCACGCTTGTCTGTATCGAGGATCTGCATCAGCAAGGCCCAAAGGCCAGTGGTAGAAGCCAGAAAACCTGCACCAGTGGGTTGAAGGATTTGTGCCACCAGGCTGAGGGATCTACAATGGAGCCAGGAAGTGATGCTCATGGTGAAGATCAGAGTTCCCCTGATGAGAAGAGCAGCCATTCTCAGGGACAGTGAGGACCCGAACTCCTCAGACAACAAGAACAGCCAAGTTTGCTTCAGGAAAACCACCCTCAGGCAAGCTTCTCCAAGAAAATCAACAGCCCACTATGACCCTCTCCAGTTCTCTTTTTATGCCATTGGCAACAATCCTCAAGTGGATCTTTGTCGGGAGCCATTCTACATATTTTGGGGGGAAAAAAATCATTTTACAATTAAATTATGATTAGGGCCGTCTGATGCCTAATGGTCCAGTGATGCTGTGACACTCAAGGGCAAGATTACATCAGCTAAAGACATCCTGGTTCTTCAAGAACTGAGTTGTAATACAAAAAGAGAAAAGTTTCACCTGGGAAGGGGTAAATTCCTTATCAGCTCAACTCTTCCCACCTACTGTTGTAAGAATGTTTTGTTCATCCCACCATCCTAATCAACATAAACTCCTCATTGACCTAACTAAGATCCTCATCAGCATAAGATCCTCATCAGTCATAGGATTACCGCCACCATCTGAGTCATCTGATACTCCCTATGAACCCAATAAACAGTGGCAAGCTCGGAGCATCTTTGTCTTTGCTCTCTCTGAGGCACTGACCACCCAGCCCCCATATACTTTGAAATTAAGCCTCTACTTTCTTTCTCTTTAGCCCTCACCATCCCCCTTTTTAGGCAGTCAGAGGATTGATTGTCCTCCAATAGGTCTTCCACACCCAACCACACTGATTCAGTTCAGCTGGGCATTCCAAGTTGCCCGTTAGTTAATCCACCACGTAAGTCCTAAGCATTTCAGCAGAAATACACATAAACTGAATTCACCACGCAGAGTAAAATGCTCTCCTAGTCAAAGAAAAGTGGACATGACTAACAGAATTGCTGGCAGCTAATTCCAAGTAGCCAAATCATCTCAGTTAAGGAACACCATTAAAAAGGATCAGTTTGCTGGGCATGGTGGCATACGCCTGTAATCCTACTCAGGAGGCTGAGGCAAGACGATTGCACATTCAAGGCCATCTTGGGCAACTTAATCAGACCCTGTCTCAAAATTAAAAATAAAAATGGCTGGCGATACAGCTCAGTGATGAGAGAGCACACGTGGTTTCAATCTTCAGTACAACAAAAAGAAAAGGGGGGTCAGTTTAGTTGAGGATAAGGGGTCAGTAAGATTTAGAAACAGTACAATTTAGATTTGGGTACCCAGAAATAAAGTCTTGCCAGTCTCAGTAAAAATACTGCAGGAAGAAAAATGAAGGGATATGTTATAAAAAGGATAAGACAAGACACAGGTTACGTTCTTCCAGGAAACAAACAGAAAGGGCCATTTTGGCATTATAAGGCCCTTGGAAGTTGCCACTCTATTCTAACAACAAACAGAAAACTGAAAAACTTGATAAAACAACTCTTCTTAGATCCATCAGAAAGGAAGATCAAGGAATAACTGAGAATTTCCCAAATTAATCATAGACAGTAAGCCACTTATCCATGAAAACCAAACAATACCACCCAGGATAAATGCCAAACAAACAAGCAAAACATTATACCTCAGCAGATCATATTCAAACTACAGAAATCAAAGATAAAGAAAAAGTCTTGAAAGGAGCCGACGAAGTTGCGGGGAACTTGTCTACAGAGGGACAAAGATAACAATTACACCTGACTTCTCCTCACAAGAGTATGAATATTTAAAATGTTCAGAAGAAGAAATGCTTTCCAAGCCAGTAAAAATTGAGGGACATTACTGACAATAGGCCTTCCATCAATACATGCTAAACTTTCTTTGGGGAAGAGGGAAAACAATTTAGGCCAGAAACTCAGACCTAAAGACGAGCAATGGAGGAGTAAGTGAAAGTAACATAAAAACTTTATTATTTAATATTGTAAGAAATAAATTTGTACAAAATAATAACAATATTGAATTCTGTATGTTATGTGTATATATCTGTTTGCATATATGTTTATCTATGCATTAAATATATGCACGCTTGAATAAGTAAAATGAATGACAGCAACTCATTGCTGTTAGGGCTGTGTCATAGTTAACTGTTGCGCAGCTAATTGGATTAGCACAGTTCTGGGTGTGACTGAAAGATGTATTTACTGAAGAGGGAAGACCTCATCTCTTGGTGGTTCCAACAGGTTTGTAGCCTGGATGGAATGAAAAGGGAAAGAAGAAGGAAGTCTCACTGCTGTTTCTTTGGAGAGCTAATCTTTGCCATCACCTTTGGATGTCCATCTCCAGGCTTCCAGAGCAGACTCTTCTGCCTTACAACACAGACCCTTTGGCTTCCTGATGTGGTCTTGTACAGGACTTTACAGTGAGCGCTAGGCCTTTCATTTTTGACTGGATCCTTTGGATCTCAAGCATGCAGACAGCCCTTCTGCACTCAATACATGAATTTGGGGGGGGACATAACTTGGTCCACAGCAATCCTTGTTCCTTCAGAATTCATGGTCTTCACGCATGAAAATACCTTCATTCCATCCCAACAGTCCAAAAGTCTCACTTCATTCCAGCACCTTATAGTCCAAAGTTTCAACTAAAGACCACCTAAATGAGACACCGGCAGGAATGGAAGTACTCTTCATTCTGAGGCAAAATTCCTCTCTAGGCTCATTACCTTAACTATCAATGTTATATCTTTACATTATAAGAAGTTTCCTGAGCAATACTGTAAGAACCCCTAAATCTGGCTGAACACCTCAATCACCTATGGAGAATGTTGTTGGTTTTACTTTGGTTTCACAGGCCCTAGCCCCAGTCACACTGATTCAGTCAATTTTGGTCAGAAAATCGTAAGAAATGGAATCCGTGAAACAGATTCAAAGAGATTAAGAATTCCACTGAAAGTATATGCAGCCAAATGAGCTAATGTGATAACAAAATATCAGATATAGAAGACAGGATTACAGACTATGATCATGAAAAGATTTCTTAAAAATAGCAAGAAACTATGAAAAATCAATCAGCTGCTAGATAATGTAAAGAATAACATAAAATTGATCAGTCAATGAAAAAGCAGGAGATAGTGCAAATGACATTTTAAAAAACCTGTTCACAGAAGTAATGGCAGAAAAACTTCCAAACATGAAAAAAGAATTTGATATACACACAAGTGAGGCATATAGAATTCCAATTAGCCATGATTTTAAAAAATCTATACTAAGGCACATAATAGTTGAGATTACAGAAATGCAACACAAGAACAAAATATTAAAAGCTGTCAGAGAAAAGAAACAAATCACCTATAAAGGAAAACCCATCAGAATGATAGCAGACTGTTCAACACAAACCCTTAAGTCAAGGAGAGCACGGAG